TGAATGCGCACGGAGAAGCAGACCTGTACCACTCCAGGGCTGACCACCATGGCCATTAAAATGCACCGCTCGGTCTCCTCCAGAGGGCGGGAGGGCTTCTGATAGGCCCAGCTGTTGCCTCCCCAGCGATTAGGTCTCCTGTTTCTAAAACAAGTGGAATTTCTTAATGGGCTGCTTTTGCTCAGGACTCTCCATCAACCTGGTTGCAGCTCTGGGCTGCAGTCAGAGGCTGTTCTTACCCAGCTGTCCTCTTTCCCTCTTCTTCACGTGCGTCAGGCTGACATCATTGTCTGATGGTTCTTTCCCTTCTCTAGATTGCTCCTCTTTGTCCTTCGCAAGCTTTTCCTCCCAGGAAATGTCTTGCACATAATTAGTATTACAATAATCACCTGCTCAACCTCCTCTCAGAGGACTTGGACTAACATAGAGTTTGGGGGAAATATTAGTAATTTAGTATTAGATGTGTCAATCATGAGATAGGTATTGGACACCCAGGTGTAGACATGGAATAGGCGGTCAGATACACAAGTCTGAAGGTGTAGGAAATGAGAGGAGAGGTCTAGTCTTCAGGCAGAAATTTGGAAGTTGACCAAGTAGCACTGGTATTTAAGCCATGAAACAGGATGACTTTATCAAGGGAACAATGTAAATGGAGAAGAGATGAGGACTAGGATGGACTGACCACTTCAACCTGAATCAATGACTCAGCAGTGGAGGGTGGGGGAGGGAAGAATCTAGGGAGTGTGATGGCCTGGAAGTCAAGTGAAGAAAGTGTTTCCATGTAGAGTCTGTCATTAACTTTGTAAAAGCTGTCGATGAATCCAGCAATATAAAGTATCAGAATTGATGGCAGGGTTCAGCAATGACGGGATAATTGCTGACCTGGAATGATTTTTCAAGACAAAATAGGAAAAAATAGTGAATATAGGTGAGTGTAGACAATGCCGTCAAGGAGCTTTGCCACAAGGGAGAGCAGGGAATCCAGTGTTGCCTAGAGGGTGAAGTAGATCCAAGGAGTTTTCTGTTTGTTTGTTTTTGTTTTTAAGATGAAGAAAATTAAACCATGTTTTTATGGTGCTAGGAACGATCCTGTAGGAAAAGTGATGGTAGTGTAGAGAGAGGGGAAAGACTTTCTGAAACAATGTTCTCGCATTGCACAGAAGCGACAGGATGGACTTCAACCCTAATAGCAGGAGGAAAGGCAGAGCAAACAGGCACAGGTGGGTAAACGTGGGTGCCAGCCCTTGTAGAAAATCTCTTCCAACTGCTTCTATTTTCTGGGTGAAAGTGGAATCACAGGGACGTGTTAGAGGTTTATATTTACCTAGAGAGAGTGGACATATTCAGGAATTGCGGCACGATTGCCAGCGGCATGAAGAGCCATTGGGGTTGTAGGTGTGACCGTGAGAGGAGCGCAGCGGCATACTTTGTGATTTCTATTACCCTGACCAGCTCTTCCGGGGCAGGCACAAGCAGGCACTAAATGGGATTGAACGAAGATTTGGCTTTTGCCAGTTGTGTAGCAGGAAGGACCTCAGAGGCAATGGAGTTGAGAAGGTAAACAAAGGATTGATGTTAATATAAGGCAAGTAGAGACATGAAGATGGTGAGCATCCAAGTTACCCCATTACCCCAAAGACATGCCATGTAAGCGACTACCAGTGGAGTTTATGAGTAAAACTCTCCTTATGTGACATTTTAATGCTATACATCAGCATGGCTTGGAGAGAGGTTTAGGAGTGGGGGTGCTTTGCAAAAGAAATTGAAAAGGGAAGCATTAGAGCACATCCCTTGCCAACCAATATCTTCTTGAACCCGAACTGAAGATTGATAAGAGATATGAATGGCTAACATTTCAAAAGGGTAAGCTTTTCATGTTATCAAAATGTATCGATGGAAATGTTTGTTAAAAACGGTAAGCTTACCAGTGATAATGTTTTGCTTTGATAACTTGGGCCAGCATATATATTTTCTTCAAAGGCTAGTCAAAAGATTTTAACGACAGTAAGAATTCCACATGGCAATACAACACTGTGATAACTACCTCAGTTAACTTCTTTGTGCATCTAATACATTGTATTTAATACTAATTTCCATTAAAATTATAAATGCAGTAATTTCTTCCAATATATAGAAAAAACAAAAAAGCATGAACATGATGCCATTTCTACCAGAGGGAGCTCTGGAATTTCTTAACATTGCTCTGTGAGTTACTCAAGAATTACCTCTGTGCACTCAAATGTTTTTAAATAGTATTCTCTGAGCTTACAGAAAGCCACTAATTCCATTATTTATATTTCTAAAAAATTAAATGCTGTTTTATAGCAATAATTCCTAGACTTTAATAAAAATGCCAAATGTTTTTTAATGATGGAATATAAAACTAACGGAGTTCCTGCTTTGACTTGTTATTTAAATTAAATTTGGTTTGCTTATATGCAGATTTGTTGACTATACTGGTATTTTATATAACAGTAAAGTTGACTAAGTAGTGATATTTTAAAATTTCTTTTGAAATGTCCATATCATGACAAAATTTATACAACTGACATACCACAGTTGTGGAGACCATGTTTAGAATCTTCCGTAGTGTGAAAATATATATATGTTATATATAGTTTTCCTTTCCCAACTATTATTCTAAAGATAATATTTTCTTGTTTAATAATGACTCTAAGGTATGAGAGCAACTGTTCCTTGAAAGCACCAGTTCATCTCTGAGAATAAACTTCTATTTTTCCTAAAGCATATTAAACCTCTCCACCCACAAGAAATTGGCTTGTCTGCCTGAGATTATAAACCCCCATACATAGGTTGTTGGGAATGATGAAATCTGTAATTTGACCTTTCTGAGTGTCACTTACAGCAGACTGGGATTTAGTCTTGGCTCTGTCACCTGCGTATGGGCCATATGAATGTGGATAAGGTATTTTCTTATGCCTCAGCTTTGTCATCTGTGTTCCCCTCAAACAGAGTATTAAACACAAGAGAAAAGTACTTGGTGTGACTTAACAAAGAATCTCTAGGGCCAGCACCCAACTGGGTCCCAAGGAAGTATTTGTTGAATGAATAAATATATAAACTAAATACTTAGAAGAGAACAGGAATAGTAATTGTATAATAGGGATAAGACGTGATGAGTACGGAACACAGTCCTAGATTAAAGTAACTGTTTTTATTGGGCAGAGTTCTAGAGAAGCCAATGTAAGTTTGCCTTCTGGGTCCAACTTCTATTTCCCCTTAAGACTGTGACTGGGGTTTAACTAATGGCCCAATATCCTGTTTTAGCACCAGGAACCGTGTAAGAGGAAAATTATTTATTTTATTACCACTCACAGATCTTAAAACTCTCATAATATTTGGGAGGAGTGGAAACAAGCCAAGTAGATTAAAGTATTTTAGCATATAATCTAAAAAGTATACTATCAATAAAAATGTTTTTAGAACTTAAGAATGTATAACAGAAAACTGGAGGCAGCGGATATGGTTTTCATTGATTTTAAGATGCATACTTTAAATTTTTACATATCCAAAATCTGGATGCATTTTATACTTGATGATATCTTACAATTGATTGGCTTCTCATTTTAAATCTTTTTATTTATTTATTTTTTCTTTTCCTTGTAGTTCATAATATAGGATGTCCTTAGGAAAATTGATAAAATATGATATAGTCATATATTAAAGCAGTATTTCTACAAGTTTATTTTTTTATCATCACCCAACCCTGTCAAGGAGCCTCTTAGGAATTTTTTTTTAATTTCCACCCCATTAAATTTAATACTAGATATATACTTTATATATGTTTATGCATTGCATGTATATATGTTTTATGAATAAAAAGAATAAGGTATTTTTGTTCTCCAAGAACCAATTTTCATCCCATTGTGGACAATATTACACCCATTGAAAATGCAGGTATTAAAGTGATACTCCATATTATTCGTTTTAAAAATCTCATTTACTAGAATATTGGGAAACAACTAATTATTAGGTTTAGAGCCTTTGGCTTTAATTATATAACAGAATGTCTAGGAATTTTATTATTATCATGAATGTCAAAGTGCTGTCAAAATGCGTGCAAAGTTTGAACATTTGTTATTTACCTCCGCAGTCAGAAAGTTATCCATAATATTTTTAACAAATAAAAGATCTTCAAGTTCATCCAGCGATATCATTCAACATATTCTAATTTTATAAAATAAGACTAATTAATAATTTCAGTGTATAAATTTAAAATGTTCACTACTTCATCTTTACATGTTCATGAGTTTAAAAACATAACTTGAGCACTACATCAATAAAGAGATATTTAAAGACCATCTAATTTCCATGAAGCACTAAGAGATAACTGTTTTATACTTTACATAGAGCCTGCAGTGGGGAGGACAAAGATGTGTAATTCTTGAAGCCTGTCCACAACAGTGAGGGCGGACCACAGAGGAAGGTCCGTTTGTGACCAGGGTTTGCACCAGGGGGAAGATGTGACTAACAATCAGGATATTCTCTCGCAGAGGTGACTGTTATATTCAACAGTTTTAACAGATAAGTAAAGGAGTTTTTTCTTTCCTTGGGGAATATCTTTAAATAGCAAAGTTGTTCGGTGTACTCTCAAATGTTCACTTATCTTTTCTCTGGGCTATGCAGTTTAATGTTTATTTTTTTTTAAATTAGTGGTGCAAAACACTTAAAATTAGTGATACATAAAACTCTTTGTTGTCTGTACTGCAATATTTTGTATTTGTCAGTTCTGACATGTGTATACTGGCCTCGCTTATTGGGTTGTGCTGAGTGGCTATTTTTGAGACTCAAGTCTATCTAAGCACTGTGCAGGTGTTTGGGAAGATGTGAACTATTCTAGTGGACCAAGCAACGTATCAGCAGAAGTGAATGCAGAGAGTACTCAAAAGAGGCTCCTCAGCTGTGCACAGACAACCATATCAAGGTTTCATCAATTGGGCCAGTTTTTCACAAGTTCTGTAAATAAATTGAAAATGAATTCAAAACCAGAAATCGTCTCCTCCACTGCTCCTAGTGCTTGCTCTTTCTCTGCCTTTTAGTCGAAGCATCTCCATGATGCTCCGAGCATAGACATCTCTCAAGTTCACACTGATGTATGAGTCAGTGGCTATATTCTTGGTGAGCTTCTTCAGAGCTTCACGCTGTCTAACAGCTGCTTCCTTAAGCTTTAAGGTAAAATAGCAAGCAGAGAAGCGGTCATTAATAATAGCAATAGGCAAAGCCAAAACAAGGATTCCCGATAATATACACATGAAGGCCACGATTTTGCCGGTAGTGGTGTCCGGTCTAATGTCCCCGTAGCCCACCGTAGTCATGGATGTTGTGGCCCACCACCAAGCACAAGGGACACTTGTGAAGGTTGTGTCAGGAATGCTTTGCTCAGCAAAATATTCCACAGTGGAGAATATAGAAATTCCCACAGACAGAAATAGGAGCAGAAGGCCAACTTCTTCATAGCACTGGGTGATTGTCATCCCAAGTGAGCGTAATCCTGTAATAGAACACTTGCCATCAGTCACTGGCAACCCTCTCTTCCTCCTCCCTCCTCCCAGCCACCCCTCCCTTCCTTGATATCCACCCACAAAACATGCATTTCCAATCTAGTAATGATATGCCTCCAGCAGTGGGCAATGTTCTGGGGTATATAGATGAAAAATCATAATCTTTGTCTTCAGGAAGCTCATAGTGTAGTTGATGGGGCTGGATCAAGAAGGATAGGGAGAAATAGAGTTAGATCTATTCACTCGCTAATATATTTATTAAACACCTTCTGTTTATATAGAAAAAGGTGAGGGATGAAATGAAAAAGCAGGCAGGGGTATATGACAGGAGTTTGTACTTGAGTCTGCCCAATGGGAGGTCTTGGAGGTGTTGCGTGTGGAGCTCACTTGGTCAGACTTGCGTTTCAATGCATCGCTTTGACACACTTTTCTAATGCCAATGCAATGCTGTCCCCTTACACTTAGTGTCTCTTTTCCTCTCACCCTCCCAATAAAGTTTAACACAATAAACATATCATTATCTGAAAGCCAGATGCAGAAAAGGACATACACCATGAGAACGAAGTGAAGCAGCTGAAGCAAGTTAGGCATGAGTGACAAAATTGACCCAGGAATGTCATATGCACATTCAGAAGATAATCTTAGAGGTATGGCAGGAGGAGTCCTTGGACTCCTATGACACCCAATGAGATTCTCACCCTTAATAACAAAACTCTAGGAAAATATCTCCTTTGAGTACATAGAATTTCTGCATTCTTGTAAGGAGGTAGACCTGAACATAGAATATCCTTCTATTGCAAAAAGGTACAGAGGACTGGAGCCACTAGGAAATTCACCCATTAATTAGGCCCTGGTGAATCCCGATTGCTATTCTGAAGATTCATGGGGCCCCTAGGAGACAGGCCTAAGGCACTCCATTCCCATCTCTGAAGAGATTAAGCTTTAAGAAGAGTAAGATGCAACCATAATGGGGCTGTTATTTGAATAAAGCATCTTCCCTAGCATTAGGGAGACACTACTAAATGTGTATCCAAATTCTGAAGCCACATCAACCTGATGTCACAATGATATTGTCTCTGAAGTCCAAAACAATGCCTCTTAGAATGAGGTGTCCGTATTGAATTGCATTTGTGAAATAAATTGACAGCATAGGAAAATAAAGCACAATTTGTGGAAGGGGTGACTGTTTTCTTTTCAAGATGAAATCTTCTAAACAATTTTGTAAGGAAATATAAAATGGTCTGAATGTCTTCATGTTACATCTATCAACTCAGATAAATTCTAAAAAAACTATATGAGGAAGATGTTATAATTATTATTCCTTTTTACAGATGAGAAGACTGAGGCATAGACAGGGAGCATCTCTAGTACAAAGCTACAGGGCCAGGATTTAAATTTAGGCTCTCAGGTCTGCCACTGTTCTAACTAATTGTATAACACCTTTCAACTTATATTCATAGTTATTACACAGGGAAATGTGTCATCTATATCTGCATTTTGCTAAATGTAATGCTTGAAATAAAATTGTCCAACATTTATATATGTTCATATCTTTTCAATAATTAATACTTTATTAATATTTTGTACTGCTTTAGAACTGAAAAAAATAAAACCTTTGAAAAGGTGACATTGGGGAAATTACTATTATTTTCTTTTTCCTTTCTTTTGGGGAAAAAATGTGGTCTTTACTGGGTGTTTTAAAACTGAATCCTGTGAAGCGAGTTATAAATACTAAAAGAAAGCACCCCATTATGTACGTCAGGAAACAAAGAGCAGTGCTTCTAAAAGTTGTTGGAAACCCCATCATCAAATCCCTGATATGTGAGACTAGCTAGGAAAACACACTACCAAAATTATATTAGGATAATTCACTTCAGTAATTTAAAAAAAAATATCTGAGGTTAATTTATCCTTGTCCTAATAGGGAGAGACAACTACCACTAACTTCTTGCAGGTTACCAGTCAGGCATATATCTAGGGAGAGAAGGTGGTAACAGGACTCTCTAGTCAGATTATGTATATTCGTACGTATTCCATCAGTATGGATGATACTAATACGGCATCCTATTTCAGTGGTTCTCAAAGTGGGATCCAAGAACCACCTACAACAAAATCATGGGTGAGCTTGTTAAAATGTACGCTCCTGGACCCACCCCCAAATATTGGAATCCGATTCTCTCAAGATTGGGGTTTAGAATTTGCATTTCAACACGATTTTTTCAACATGGGATTCCTCTTTTCACTACAGTCTAACATAAGGTATCATATAGGTAGCCCAAAACACCCAACAACCACAGAGCTGGCCTCTGAGAATCTCTGCCTTTGGGAGGCCAGGCTCATCCTTAATGGATTTGTGTGACTTCCCCTGACATTGACTATAATTTTCAAGTACAACTGTGTGTGTGGAGATTTGTTTAGGGAGAATGTTTGTTAGATTACCTAGGCTTTATGATACACATGAAAAGCTAAGGCACTCTTGTTATCATCTCTCTCATGCACCCCAGGTCATAGACAAGAAAATTCTCAGAAACTAGATAAGGCTTTAATGAATGTCTCCTGATTTCTTCCAAAGCAAATATGTCCATTGTTTCTTCAAAACTCAGGAGACGGCCACTAGTGCCCAGCATTTCTCTCTGCATAGCCAGAGAAGCCTCAGCTGGACACTTTCTCTTCTGCCAAGGAACATGTGTGGCAAGTACTTTCTTGGATACAGAAGAGAAACTGGCTTAGGTCTGTAAATATCATCTATAATTTATGCATACATTTTATGTGCTTTTATGCATATTTTATTTGGAACCTTCTAGAGGCACAGTGTTTTATTTTTTTGTACATCTTCTGGGCACTGGGTTAACACCAATTGATGTTAACAGCAGGTCATATAATTTCTTAAATTTCTTATGGAGAGAAAGAGTGTGAAAGGCACTGTTTCTTTTATACCTGTGATAACAATTTCAAGTTTTTGCTTCCCATTAACTTTTTGGAGGTCATGGTTGGCTAAAATAGGAGAGGGTTGCTATTTTGAGTATCCATTCAGTTGCTTCCCTTGGACTGTGGGTCAAATCCCTAATGCTTACAAACAGGAGCAAATTAAAAGATGCCAATGAAATCTGAATACCTGTGGAATGCCTGCCCAGCTTTAGCATGCGCAGAGCCCTGAGCAGCCTCAAAACCTGGACGAGGCGCCCCACGTTTTCCAGCTCCTGTGTGGTCTCACTCCCACTCAGGCTCTCTACCAGAAGCGTGATGTAGAAGGGCAAGATGGCAAGCAGGTCTATGATGTTCGGCACCTTCCTGAGGAAGCAGCACCTGTCCCGCACGCACAGGAAGCGTAGGACAAACTCCCCAGTGAACCAGCTAATGCAAAAGTACTCCAGGATTTCCAGCAGCTGCAGGTCCAGCCAGCTTAACTCAGCTGACATCAGGGCCATGTTGACGATGGACACCACCACGAAGATGATGGAGATAACCCCAAAGATGCGGGCAGCTGTGGAAGACCCAGGCTTCTCCAGGATGTCCCAGAGCTTCTGGCGGACAGTGGGACAAGGTCCTTTCGAGAAATCTTGTTCACTCTCTGGTTGGCTTTCCTGGTCTTCTGTGTCCTTCTTAAAATCTAAGGTTTCACTCAGCTCTTTTCTTCTGAAGTATCTTTTAGAGAAGATAACTTGGTGATTAGTTAACTTTGTAAAAACACAGAATTAAAATGAGAATTAAACTTAGTCATGAGGTTATGCTTCTTAGTTTAGTAAAATGCAAAAAAAAAAAAAAAAATGTTCACTCATATCTTACCCAGGCTGTCTCTTGCCCATAGTATTCTAACTTTATCATTTAGGTTTATTATTTTTAAAATGGCACTTTTGTGGTAGAAGTTTCTACAAAAGGATTTATACATAACAAAGCTAGTGTAATATATTTTAAAATCCATTTTTTTAAAAAACAAAAACAGAAGTTTGCCGTATGGAACTCTGTCTGTGTATAACGGAAAGGTATTCATGAAGATATGATAGTAACAGAAAAGTAACAGCAAAGTCATCATCGAGGTCAAGGAATCAAGTTTCTATCTTCTGTATTTAAAACATTTCTCCACTTTTTTAAAGTGAGTGTCCTAGGTTTGATAAATGATAATGCTCCATACTGAGACCTACATCCTTACAAGTGCCTCTTTTGGAGCATAGCTTTTGTGACTCATTTATTCAATCACAAATATTTATTGCATGTCTGACCTCCCTTGCCTTCTAAATGAATGGGCATACATTCGCTCAAGAAAACAAGATTCAAAAAGTTCCGACCAAAAGTTGGCTTTGACGCTTTCCAGCCTTCCACTGCTACCCCCCGCTAAGAATGGCCAAATATTCATAGGCCTGGGTTGAGCGAGACTGAGTGCAAAGGCTCAAACCTTTACCTCTGCCGCCCTCGCTCCAGTGCTCACGCCGCCCCGCCCAGCCACCGTGCGTCTCGCGGTACCTGTCCCTGCAGCAGGAGTCGATGCTGAGCTCGTCGATACCCCAGTATTGGATCTCCTGAAGGAAGGAGAGCGCGCACAGTTGCTCCATCACGTGCAGGCGGCCGGTACGGTAGTAGTGCAGGACGTAGCGGAACGCTTGAGAGCTGCGGTCGAAGAAGTACTCGTTGTCCACGGGATTGGCATCATCGCAGAACTCCAGGGGGCTGGGCGCGGCGGCCAGGGCCCCGGGGCGTCTGTACGAAGCCACCACCACGGCCAGCTTGCCCAGGCGCGTGTGCGGGAAGCAGGACAGCGCCTGCTGCGAAAGCACAAAGCGGCTGCCGCCCACATTGACCGTGAAGCTGTCCCCGAGCGCCAGGGGCTCCCCTTCGTCCTCGCTGCAGAAGACGCTGGATTCCAGCGAGGCCAGGGAGACGCTGTCCAGCGGCGAGTCCGGCGGCGCCCGGCCGCGGGGAGACAGCTCCATCCCGGTCGCCGCTGCCTGGGGGCTCCACAAAGTTGGAGCAGTGGCAGGGCCCCTGGTGGCGGCCAGGATTTCCCGGGCTGCCGAGGGGCACCCGCGGACCCCTACTCTCTCCACCGTTGTGCTTGTGCCCCCTCTCGCCGCTAGGGAGCTGCGAGTGCGCGGTAGCAGCGCGCGCAAGTGCTGGAGCTCGGAGGCTGGGAGGGGAGGGGTCGTGTCCCAAGAAATGCTGGGGTGTGGTTTAAGCCCAGAACCGCACAGGGCACACTGCCTGCTTCTGTGGCCTCCCCAGACTTAGGCACCCCCTCCCCGACTTTGTAAAGGAAGTCCCGCGCCCGGGAGGTGCAGGAGTTGGCAGCCTGGCTACTGGGGCGGGGAGGGCGTGTAGGGCAGTCTAGAGTAAAGGAGGAGGACAAGAGGAGGACTCTCGGGGGGCAGAACGCAGGCAAGGGGATAATGAGACTCACTCTTACACTTGGTACCAAAATGAAAAGTTCAGAAAGCAGAGACAGTGGTAACCCGGTCTGAGTTTCTTCCAACTTGAAGATTTATGCTCCCTCCTCTTCTTTTACTGCGGCGGGTGGCTGGGCCTCCCCGGGAGAGTTCACTTGGGGGTGGGTGGGTGAGAGCACGTGGGGAGCTGCCCTGGGCGAGGGGGCCGCATCATTTGCGTCCATTCACTCTCATTCTAGTTTGCACTCACTCTCTATTTTCTTCTCCCGTCTCTCCCAGGTTTTGACCTTCTGGTTGAGAAATAAGGATAATTAATGATGGCTTTTAATTGAAGTCTCAGTGAGTCACTTAGAACTAGGCGTACCATTGCCAGCGCCCGCCGCGTGTTTAGGCACTTTCGGTTTAGCCATTTCTGTCCCTACAAGTTTCCCCGAGAGCAGGTGTTCTGAGCGCGTTCCCGGGCACACAGCAGAGCTCTCATTTATGGAGCAGGAAAGGAAAAAAAAAAGAAAAAAACCCACCAAGAAACAGGGAATAGAACAGGCGTGGGCTGGGTCAGGTGTTTAAATAGTAACGACGCCTGGGTATAGGGAGAAGCGGAGCAGCGTGCCCAGGTGAGACGAGCAGCACACCCACGGGCCCCGGGAACGGCATTCTGGCCAACCTGTTGGACATTGAGTGGAGTGGGGAGGAGGGCGGGGTCACTCACCTGCGGATCCTGGCACCTCCGGGCCGCGCCCAGGGGGCGCCGCTGGTTGCGTAGCCTTTGTTTGATCCTCCTTGGTTTTCACGTGAGGTCTGACTTGACAGGTCCAGGAGAACACTGTGCTCACAGCTGAGCGCTGCGGAGCTCGTCGCCTCGTCTCGCCTTGTCGCCTTGTCTCCACCCGCCAAGCCGCTCCGTCCCCTGGGCTACGGCGGCGAGGCGAGTGTCCGCCCCCGCCCTCCCTGGCTCCGAGCCAGTGAGCCAGTCGCGGTCCCCAGCACCAGCTGTGGGGAATGCGGGGAGCGCAGGGAAGTGCGACAGGAGGAGGAAGTGAGGCGCTTAGTGACTGAATATCATATTCATCCTGAAGACTCTGCTAGGATTACCGTATTAGATTCCCGTTCCCCTGAATCTGTGTGTTCCCAAATTCAGGGAACAAAAAGAACAAAATTTTCTAGTTGTATAAGTCTGCTAAATTCAGGGTTAGGGTCCTTATGTTAAATGCTTTGTGTGGTATGGTTCAAGGTATTCTCGTTTCCAGCAAACATTTGGGAATAATGCATTTTTCAAGTCTTTGCAAGAGAGAGAGAGCCACACTCATCTTTTTCCCCCCTTGCACATAGTTTTAGAAAGTATATTCGTATAGCAAGAAGAGAGGAGAATAGCTTGAAACAATATGGGGAGATTTTCCATAGGTTGCTTTGAAATGTGGCTATTTAATTCTGGCTTTGCCAGCTGGCTGTGAGACCTCCGGCTTTGTTTACTCAAAGGCCTCAGTGCCTCCCTCCGTGAGTTTTCAAGTGTTAATAAGAAGACCCAGCATTTATTGAGTACTTATTTTATGCCAGGAAATTTCAAGTCATTACTCATTCAGTACCTTTTTGGACATAATAGCAATACTATGGGATAGCAGTATACCCATTTTACAGAAGGGGGAATTGAGGTGCAAGGAAATTAAGTGATTTACATTTTATTCGGGGGCAGGGGGTGTCACACAGTCCAGTTTCAAACCCAGGATGAGCTAGGAATTTAAGGGTGTATCTTCCCAGATCTTTCACAAATGTTTTCTGAGCTTCCATTATGTATTGGGCACTATTCTAGGTGCTTTCGATAGTTCCATGAAGCACCCCTGTCCTTGTGGAACTCACAATTTTTCTGTGAGAATAAATGGGACTTTAGTGAAATTTATAAAACAGTATAGTATTTACAGCTTATGAGTCTTGTGACAGTTATCCATTTGATTAACTTTTGCCTCTGTAAAGAACTCTTCCATACAGAAAATATGAAGGAGTTAAAATTATCCTGGTAAGTAATTCATCATTACCTTTAGGCACTATGCTGTTAAACTTTTTAAGGTAGCACAAGAAGAAAAATTCCCCCAACATCTTAATTACAGATTACCTGGATATGGAAAAAAAGCAAGAGTCCACGGTTCTGTTTAGACTTATTCATACGTGTGAAGAACTTTAATAAATGTTTAGCAATAAAGTCTGTTCTAGCTTTACAGATGGCAATGAGGTAGGAGGAAAACTTGTAGAGGAGGGTAACAGCTTTAGGTAAGAAGGGAGATCTTGGACAGGTAACCAGAGGTAGCAAGAGACAACCTCTGAGGCTTGCAGGTCTCCTGCGCTGCCACCAGGACCCTGGACTTCAGTTGTAATTAGTGGTGTCCTGCAGAAGTAATTATGACAGTAATCATTCTTTAAGTATAAGGCCCAATAAGCATTCGTTCATATCACAATGATCCCATGAGGTAGGTACTGTCATCCTTAGTTACAGATCGCAACTCAGAGGCTGACAGGCAGTAATTAACTTTATCAGGTACACAGTGATCAGGTGAAGACTGAGTACATGAAGGGATCAAAACCAGGGTCTTTCTGACTCCAGGTTTTATCTCAACTATTAGGATCCTAAAATTTTCACTTGGGCTTTCATTATGATCAGAACAATTTCCACTAATAAAAACAATCACAAGAAGAGATAATGACTAGTTAACTGGGAATCTATAAACACAATTGACCCATTTTAAAATATAGTCTCTTGGGTGCTAGGAATCCCTGCCTTCTTCTGGTAGGATTCCCTTTGTTGTCTCCCTGCTCCTTCATTGGTTGCCTAGGCTTGAGTCAGCTTATTGAAGAAGAGATGGTGGGGGGTGGGGAGGGATAAATCCACTCAAAGGATATCCCTCCTGGTGTCTGATCTTGACACGAGATATACCCATCATTCTTTATGTAGGACTGTAGGGTTACAGTCCGTCAAGAAGTGACAAAGAATTGCTGATAAGTAGTTGGGGGTGGTAAGGTCTTGCTTGTGATTTCATTCCTGCACAGCAAGGGAGGAAAGTAATTGTCATGTAGGAATGAGCACAGTACTGAGATGTGAAAACTCCACAATCTAATAGCTTTGGGTATATTTCCCTAGTTACCAGATGTTATAGTCAGGTGATTTTCCATTAACAGTCTTGTTTTGAAATGCTCTGCTGGTATTTGGCTTTAGCTATCAAATCTCTGAACTATCACATTGAATATTAAATCTTAAGGTACAACTAGTGTTCTTAATTCCTCCAATTTTTACCAATATTTCTAAATTTATTAATGAACAACACACATTCTTAACAGTCATGTTTTAGATTGCATTAAAACAAAAATCACAGCATACTTTAAATACCTGGCTCTCTTGGTGATAATTACAAAATAAAAGTTAAAAGTCATTAAAAGTCACTTAACTGTATTAGAAATTCCTATTATTAAAAATCTAGAGCATTTTGTTTGTTTTTGAAAAAATAATGAGAATGTATTAATATTATATTCTCCTTTTCTGGGATTTATTTAAATATGATATTTCTGTGAAATTGTCATCTATTATATGAATATTTAAAAATGATTATACATATATGATCATAAATCATTAAAACTTTTTTTAGAAAATGTACATACTTTATTATATTCAAAATAAACTTTAAGTTATTTAAAAAATTAAATAGAGGATATATAATGAGAATAATTTTGAATAAAGGACTTTATAGAATTTAACTTGAATGAACTCTACCTTTCCATTTTCAGTGCTCTCATGGTACACTCATACATTTATACTCAAATCCCTTTAATTTTTTCATTCATTAACAATGGGAACCGTATTTCATGTGAAGTGTGGATGTGTACCTTTGACTCTGTGATTGATTCCCTAGAGACTGACAACCAGATGAGCTAAGTGTAATGCTCTTTAAAAATGCCTTTAGGTATGGACTTTGTCTCTGTCCCCTTCATTGCACTGGGATATGTTTAAATGTAAAGAACAATCTCACAAATCTATCTATTCAGCTCCCATGTGCCTTCTAGGTGCTTAGAAAAAATCCTTCTAACTGTATAACAGCCCACTCTAATGCAGAATTTAGCTTAATGTGGGCTTGTTCTGGATTCCTTCCAAGGGGAGGCAATTATTTTTGGAAGTATCCCAAAACTCATTTTTTAGCCTAGTCTGCTAAAGAGATCATGGGATGAGCTGATGATGGTGACGATGAGCATAAGATTATGCTAATAATGGCTGTTGCCTTCACCTAGTCAACCTCAGCTCTTTTATTAGCTATGTGACATTAACAAGTTTCTTAAGCCTTCTGTCTCATTTTCCTTATCTGTAAAACAGGGATAACAATAGTACTTCACCTTATGTTGTTGTTTTAAAATTAAATGAGATAATCTATGTAAATGTTTAGTGCAGTGTCATTATTCTTCTTGTAACTTTTATTGTTATAATGTTTCAGGAGTGTTTTTCTGATTCCGTCTTACTTAGCACTTATTATGTGATAGTTACCACATTAATAACTTAACCTCATTTAATTTATAATTCACTATGAGGAGAGTATTATTATCATTCT